CAGGCGCTGCTGCTGGGGCCCCGCAGCACCAAACAACATTTGAATACAACGTGGACTACAGCCGAGTCTTTTCTTTGTTTTACAAAGAAGTGGAAAACAACGAAAAAGGGGGAGAGGGTGGGGGGGCCCTTGGGGCGTGGGGGGCCCCAGGGGCCCCAAAGGGGGGCCCCCCGGGGGCCCCCTTCGGGGCCCCCGGAGGGCCCCCCGGGCGCGGGAAACGCAAAGGGGTACTGGACCCGAAGTCCAGCCAAAATGTAGAAATCTGCCTCAAGAGATATAAGCTAGCTAGCCAAGAAGACTTCGAACAGCTGGCTGAGCAGCTGCTGCAGGGGGGGCAGCTAGCCATAGAAGGGCCGCTAGCTGAAAGCCTGGTGCTGTACTGGCCCGAAGCAGAAGCAGCAGCAGCTTTCAGCAGCAAAACTGCAGCAGAAGCAGCAGCAATGCCAGCAGCAGACCAGCTCTACTTCTGGCTCCTCAAAAAGGTTCCTCTTTGCTGCGACAGACTCAAATTCCACATCGAGTCCGTCACAAACTTTTCTCTTTCTTTTTTCTTTTTCTTTTTTGTTCTCTTTCTTCTCTTCCAGTATCCTCATTTTCCTGCATTAATTAGCTCTTCTTGGCTCTTTTAATTTGCTGTTTTATTATCTCTTACTTGCTTCTTTATTTCCTTTTATCTTCTCTTCTTGGGTTCTGCAGCAGCAGCCTTCGTTGCTGCTGCCTTTGCTGCTGCTGCTGCTGCTGCCTTTACTGCTGCTGCTGCTGCTGCCTTTGCTGCTGTTGCTTCCTTTGCTGCTGCTGCTTCTGCTGCATCAGCTGCTGCTGCTGCTGGTGTGTGCGCAGCCGTTTGTGCGTGGAGGAGGAGCTGGCGGCGAAGGCTGCTGCGCTGGGAGTGTATTTCGGGGCTGTTGCTGCTCTTGCTGCAGTGGTGGTGAGCAGCAGCTTCCGGGCTTTGCTGCAGGCTGTGCTGCGGCTCGGAAATGCTGTTAATCGGGGAAAGAAAGAAGCTTTGGGTTTCAAGTTCAAGGACTTTGCAGATCAGCTTGCTGCTTGCACCAGCCGCGACCGCTCCACCAACCTCTTCAGGCAAATCTGCACCCTTTTTCCCCCTTTTTTCAAACTTTTCCACTTCGGAGGCCCCACACTTCTGCAGTTCTTCGTTTTTGATCCTTTTCGCAAAAAATCCACCTTTTCCTAACGTTTTTCCCAAAATTCAAACTTTTTTCCACTTTCGCGCTCCCGGTGCTCACCGCAGCTTCGCCATTCCTCTTCCGCTTTTTCGCTTTTTCTGTCTGTGTTTGCCTTATTTTGTTTATTTACTGCTTATTTATTGTTTATGTATCGTTTATTTGCGTTTAATTTGGCGTTTATTTTGGGTTTATTTCGCGCTTGGAGCTGCTTGTTCGGGCTGTTGCTACCTTCGCTGCTCGCAGACTTCTCGTCGAAACTGTTTGCGAACAAAACGAATTCGCCATCGAAGAACTTCGAGGGCTTCAACTTGTAGACGCAGCCAAAGGGGTCAGTTTTGCTTTTTGCTTTTTTGAATCTTTTTCCGCTTTTTTTTGAATTCCTTTTCCGCGTTTTTTGTTCTTTTTTGGCTTCTTTTCACTCCGTCTGGCCTTCTATAATTAATTCTAATATTTTAAAGTATTTTCAACTCTTTTTGCGCCTTTTTTGGATTCTTTTTTGGTGCCTTTTTGGTTCTTCTCTGCCTTGTTTTTGTTCCCGGTTCGTTTTCTTTTCGCCCCTTTTTTGTGTCTCTTCTGGTTTTCTTTTTTTCTTTCCTTTTTTTCTCGTTTTTGACTCAGTTTTGCCCCGTCTTTGTTCTTCTCTCGTCTCTTTTTTGTCTCCTTTTAATTTCCTTTTTCCATCATTTTTCTCTCTCTTTTCTGTCCCTTTTATCTCTCTGTAATCTCTTTTTTTAACCTCATGCTTGTCTCCTTTTTGTTTCTATTTTGTCTTTTTTGTCGCCTCTTTTCCTTTCTTTTGTCCCTTTTTTGTCTTTCTTTTATCTTCGTTATGTCTCTCATATGTCTCCTTTTTGTCTTTTCTCCTCTTCATTTTTTATTTCTTTTTATTTCTTTTTAATCCTTTTTGGATTTCTTTTTAATATCTTTTTAATTCCTTTTTTGTTTCTCTTTTGCCTCCTGGTTTACCAATTTGGCTCTCTGCATTTTCCCCCTTTTTCTTCTTCTCTTTTTTGCATTCCCCCCAAATCCAGCCTTTTATTTAATCATATACTTCTTCATTATCTATTATATATTTATTTATTTATTTTTTGTTTGTTTGTTTATTTATTCGCAGATGGAGGTGGCGGAACTGGCGAATTTGTCTTCAATAGAATCTCGTCTTTCTTTTTGGAAGAAAAACATAAATGCAAAAAAGGACCTTTTAGGAGCTGCTGCAGAAGCCATGCTCAAATGGGTCGAGGTCTGCTGCTGCTGCTGCTGCAGCTGCTGCTGCTGGGGAATTTCGCTGCTGAGGGTGCTTTTGCTGCTGCTGTTGCTGCTACTTCTGCTGCTGCTGGGTCTCTTGCTGCTGCTGCGCTTGCGGCGCTTGTATCTCTGCTCCTTTAGCTGCTGCAGTCCTCGCTTTCACTGCTGCTGCTGCTGCTGCTGCAGGACACGGAGGGCGTGGTGGCTGGTCTGCGGGAGGAAATAGCAGCAAATGAACAGCAGCAAGAGCAGCTGCGGCTGCTGCTGGGCCTCAGCAAAACTGACTGCGTGTGGCCGCAGCCTTTAAAGTGGTTTGGCAAATTCTACACTCTTTTCGAGCAGACTGCCAAGGAACTGAAGGAAGCCAAGGTGCGCAGCAGCAGCAGCAGCACCAGCACCAGCACCAGTAATAGTAGTAGTAGTAGTAGTAGTTGTTGTTGTTGTTGTTGTTGTTGTTGTAGTTGTAGTAGTAGTAGTAGTAGTAGTAGTAGCAGGGGGAGTGGCTGCTGCAGCGGGAGTGGCAGCAGCAACGGGATAACAGCAGCAGCGGGAGGAGCAGCTGCAGCGGGAGCAGCAGCAGGAGTAGCAGCAGGAGTAGCAGCAGGAGTAGCAGCGGGAATAGCAGCAGCAGTGGGGCTTGCAGCAACAGCAGCTGCTGCTGCTGCTGGGGCGCCTAGTGCCTGGGAGAGGGAGTACAGGGAAAGCCGCTTGAGGCTAAGGATCTGTGGTTTAGGGTTTAGGGTTTAAGGTTTAGGGTTTGTGGTTTGCGCTCAGGAGAAAGAGGCTGCAAAGCGAGAGAGAGAGCTGAAGAAGCAGCAGCAAGCAGCAACTTCACCTGCTACTGCTGCTGCTGCTGCTCGCAGGACAGGGACCCTCAAGACCCTTCCCACAAGAGCAGCAGCAGATGCTCTTGCTATTCCTGGGGGCCCCACACAGCCTGCTGCTGCTGCTACCCCTGCTGCTGCTGCTGCTGCTGCTGGGGGCTCCAAGGCGCCTCCCGTGGTGTCTAGGGGCAGCTCTGCCGCACTGTCGCCTGCACCAGCAGCAGCAGCAGGAGATGAAGCAGCAGCAGCAGCAGCAGCAGCACCTACAGTTCCCGCAGTGGCAGCAGCTGGAGACACACCGCCACCTACGCCGTCCTCAACCCCAACATCAACGCCAGCGTCAACACCAGCAGCAGCTGCTGCAGCAGCAGCTGCTGCTGCTTCTGCTCCAGACTTATCCTCTCCATCTGTGAGCGACACATCCACCATGTCGCCGCTTCCCTCAGCAGCAAATCTGTATGAGATGCAGCAGCAAGTCTGCAGCAGCAGTGAGGTCTCAGAGGACCCCACGGGGCCCAAGGCGTCCCATATGCCCCAGCAGCAGCAGCACCAGCTGCAGCAGCAGCAAGACCAGCAGCAGCAGCAACAAGAGCAGCAGCAGCAACAACAGCAGCAGCAACAACAGGAGCAGCAGCAACAACAACAGCAGCAGCAGCAGCAGCAGCAGCGGCCGCCCGCAACGTTGGCGTGGCTGTTTGCGAGAACCCCAGGCCGTCGGCCTCATGGGCTTTTGCCGCTGCAGGGCTTAAGACCTGCTGCTGCTCCTGCTGCTGCTCCTGCTGCTGTTGCTGCTACTGGACCAGCGGCAGCAGCAACCACCCCGCGGCGGGTGATGTACAGGGCCCTGACTTCCCCAGGCCGAGCCGGACCAAGAGCAGCAGCAACACTAGCAGCA